TTTTTTTTTAAAAAAATATTTTAAACTTCTTGTCTCGAACTTTCAAGTAATTTAATTACTATGTATATGGATCTTTTGTATCATTTCTTATGGAGTAATGTTATTTATTATATAATTAATAATTTAGGTAACAATGGATTTCATTGAATAATGAATCAGAAGATCCACAATCACTTAGATGAGTGAAGATCACAAATAATGATAAATAGTATTCCTACCGAATTATGACTTATGCATCATTCTAAGAAATATCAAAATAATTATAAAATAACAATATTACTTACTGAACATGTTCAAAATGTATTCAATTAAAACTTTGCATGAAACCTTTTCAATGAATAACTGAACGAAACAATATGGAAATAGTAAGGAAACTTTAAGTATGTTTGGGGAGTGTTTATAAACGATTTAAATGGTAAATAAAAAAAATAAGTGATAAATAAGTTGATAATGCTTGTAGATCCCTCGAAATATGTAGATAATAAGTTGTTTGAGTGTTTATAAACAATTTATAAATATGAGCCGAACATAGGTTAAATCATTAACATATGTCGATACAAAAATATTAATTTCACAATGTTTGTTCTTTTTATCATGGTATTTATATTTATTATTCTTTTCTTGTTCGATATATTGGCATGGCACATCACATGCTATGCCTTGTACTACAACTGCATTAGATACAAAATTACACCATACACAATCCGAAAAATAACATCGAATTCTTCTACAAGTACACCAACAACTCGAATTTTATAAATTATTTTTCAAAAACTAATAAATTAAAATATTATTTAAATAATAAAATTAAATGTATCTATTATTTTCATGAAAGAAGTAAACTATCGTGGTCGAATGTCACAAATACACTAATGAAGTTCGACAATCAACGATTGAATTGATTATCATTTTATTGTCATTAAATTAATGATATGCACCAAAAATTCATGAATTAAAATAAAATTCTCGATGGAAGTTTAACTTGTAATAAAGAAGAGTGGAGTTTATTAGGTTAATGATGGAAGCGTATTACTACAAATATTTTGGCTGAATTATTTCTTGGGATTTGATCTTCTAGCATATTTTATTATGCTAATACCAACCAAATGATTGATAAAATCTTCAATTTGAATAAAAATGATATATTTTTGTACCATAATAATAAATAAGGTGATGACTTAATATTTAATTAAACATAAAATTCACTCCCTCAACTAATCATCTTATTTAAAAGTTTAAAGTATTAGAGATATGCCATATTTGTTCGTTTAACCTTCAGCATGTTTCGCCAGTAGCGCATCACTTATGTCTTAAGTTCGTTGAAAATAATTTGAATTTTAGCCCACCCGAACGTCTTTTTCTAAATTCGCCGTTTTGGAGTTAGTATATTGTTAGAATTTAGGTGTGATCCGAATCTCTTATTGAAGTAATTGAAGAATTATAAATGAAGTGTACACCAAGAAAAATTAGTTTGAAATGCTATTGGAGTCCTATGTCAAGTTGAAATTCTATTTTGAAAGCTTATTTAGGGATGGCAAAAAAACCCGACAAACCCGATACCCGAGGGGACCCGCCCCGAACGGGGAG